CTCTCTCTCTCACACACACTCCTTCGACGCCTCACTCTCTCTCACACACACTCTCTCCGTCTCTCATAGTATGCCCTCTCTCTCACTATCAAATTTTATTAAATTAAGTTGCCCTAATTTGTTTCTACATTCTTTCTTTATCAATTAGTGGAATAATAAATTTGCCTAAATCTTTTTTTACTTTCTTTATCCATTAGATTTTAGTGGAATAAATAATTTTGTCCTAATTTTTTTACTTGGGTCTTTATCAGTTTTAATTGAATAATTTTTTTCTAATTTTTTTGACATAATTTTGTTTCATTAAATTGTTTTGTTTATAATTTTAATGATTATATGTACAAGTAAATTTTTTTTGTGACTATAAACAAATAAAAAAGTTGTTATAACTTATGTTTTATCTGTGAACTTTTTTTTTTTTTAAAAAATTTAAGAGGGCCCCCATTTTCGAAATTCGCGTTAAGCCCCCTAAATTTCAGGGCCGGCCTTGATGAGAGGCGCTTCAATTGAAAAGGCGCTTCAGTTGGGAAGGGCGCTTCAACTGGGGGGGGACATTCAACTGGGAGAGAACAGTCAAGTGGGAAAGGAAGTTCAACTAGAAGAGACAGGGGCAAGGACAAGGGCACGGGCAAGGGCAAGAGTAAGGCCAAGCATGCACATGTAAGTTTTTCTTACTTGTGCTCTATGAAGTTATAGTTTTTTTCTCCTTTTCTTTTTTTTCATTGCCTGAATCCTGAAAAAATGGGGATTTTTTTTTTTTTTTTTCATTTTTTCTTGCAGTTGACTAAGCTGAGATGATGATGGTTTTGGTACAAGTTCTTATCACAAGTTTAAGGTATATAACACTTATTGATGTAGTGCACAGTTAGTCTCAGATCATGTTCCACTTTTTGAATTTTTGTAGTGGACATGACATACTAAGCATAACAACAAATAGTCTCAATGATGTATCCACTTTTGTTTTTTGTAGTGGGTATGAAGTATATTCACTTGGTGTTTATATTTATATTTTGTGTAGTGGAATGCTGTAATTGGACAGACATGATACTCCTGGTGTTTACATAATAGTTAAATAGCTATGTTGTGCTTGGTTCTGGAGCTCTGACTGCTTCTTTCCTTTCACTTCCGGCTGCCTTTTTGGTTTTTCTCTTGACTTGGAATTTTTGAGTTTTGCACAATAGAGCTTTGTATTGTGCTTAGTATATATACCTGAGATCAACTACCTTGAGGGCATTATTGGTAGTTTTGGCTTTATTGATGACATCAACATGTTCTGTTGCCTGGGTAACGGAGGTTCACATAAGGGGAGATCTTAACAATATCAGGTAAAGCAGAGGAGGTTTGTGTAATTATTTAAATTATAAGAGAGGTTTCTGTATTTGTTAAAATTCTCAGGTTTAGTGAGTGCAATTTTCCTAAAAAGGTGTATAAAAAATTGTGTATTGGATTTTTATTTTTTATTTTGTTGAATATGTCAGGCCTTACTAACAATGACGTATTCAATATTTGTTACTGTCAACGAAAATTAAAATTTCAATACACGTGTCATACTTTCATAAATTTTTATATACTTTTATTAACTTTCTTTATATATATATATTTATTTTAATATATTTTTTTACATATATACTATAGCATATTACCGCTCTCTGCTAGCATTTTTTCATGTATAGGCAACTTGTCTTTTCACCAGTCGATAGTTGTTCACAATCTAGTTCTATGTTGGAGAGGATTTGAGGTGCTTGCTGTAGGTAAGGGTATTTGAGTCTATTTAAATAATTTATTTTACAGAATATGTTGAATAGGTTATTAATAAAAAAAATTAAATTAATCGGATATCGATAATTGCATGATTAAATTACATTTGTCTTAAAACAATTAGACAACAAATGTGATTTTAAAAATAAATCTTTTAATTTTTTTAACACAAATGTAATATGATCAGATATTCAATCAATTTAACTTTTTGCGTGAATGACTTGCACGACAAACACTACAAAATGAATGGTTTAATCTTCTCAATGAATCCTAATATTGTGTTTGGTTGGAAGATTTGAGGAGGGATTTAAAAAGAAAAATGAAAAAGGTAGGTGAAATGTGAATAAAATATACCTACATTTTATCTAATTTCACGCACATTTTCCTTTTCTCTTGTCAAATCTTTCCATAAATCTCCCAACTAAACACAACGTAAGTAGGCTCCATCCTCAAAGCACGATAGGGCCTGTTGTCTAGGCAATCCAATCCTGGTTGAAGCTGTCTAATTGGTACAACTTATTATAGGCTAAAAAGCAAATAATTAGAAAAGCAAAAGTTAAAAGCATCTATCTCTCAATTTATAGATATTTAATTTTTTTTCAACTTATTTCAACTATTTATATTTAATAAACTATAAATAAAAATTATAACAAACAGGCTAACACAGATTTTCAAAAAAAACAAGTTGTAAACATTTCATATAAGCTGCAGAATCTCATAACGAGTTTGCTCTTTTGTGTGCCAGAGTTCTTGCTGCTCATTTACAAGAACCTGGTTTTGATTCCAATCTTCAAACTGGGCTAAAGGCCCACATTGGAAACTGGTTTACCCAACAAGAGCCTAGTTTTGATTCCAAGCTCCAAACTGCGCTGAAGGCCCACATTGGGAACTGGTCTACCCAACAATAGCCTGGCTTTAATTCCAAGAGGCCCAAATTGCAAACTGGCCTACCCAACAAGTCGCTATAATCAAGCACTCCATGGGATTGTGTGAATTCTTTCCATTCTTCTACTGAACTTGTTGGACATTAGGTCGGGTTGGGCCCGAATTTGGGCTTGGATTTAAAAATGATAAAAATGAATAATTTATGGACCGGTTTTATTTTTTCCTTTTTTGTGGTACAATGGAGGCTGAAGGTTAGGCCTCTTTTGGAAATAAATTATTTTAGTAATTTTTAAATTTTTTATAAAAAGATATATAAAAAAAATAAAAAGAGTGATATGACAACTTATAGTAACTTTTTCACTTTTTGATTAAAACATAGAGGCCTCTTTTAAGAAGCTAGTTAAAAGCCAAAAGTCAATTTTTAACTCGTCTTGGGTCACATTATATTTCACATTTTAACATATTAAAAAAAAAAATAATAATAACTTTTAACTACCTTCTCAAAATAGGCCGTAGTTGCCAAACGAGGCCTTAAATACACTATAAACTGTTTATAAATTTTTTACCTAATGAAAAATGTATTTAAAAATGATATTTTTATTTATTTATTTATTTTAATAATAGATATAATCAGATCGAGCTAAGTCAGTGTTTTGGAAAGATGGTTAAATTAAAACTCTTTTTTTTATATACTTTTTTTTGGCTTTTTGACTTTTTTTTTTTTTTTTTTTGAGAGAGAGAGAGAAGAAGAAGTGGGTTAAAAGTTAAGATGTGACTTGAAATAGGCAACTGTCAATACCAATAAAATTTTTTTTTTAAAAAAAAAAAATTGACTTCCAAATTCAATCCAACCTTGTAGAGAAACCCAAATACATTTTATTAGATTGGGACTGGTCGTGTTTACAACTGTTAAACGAATTAAATTACTTGAATTCGATTCGTATATGGCTAGTTAAAAAATTGTTCAAGATTGACTCGTGAACATAATTTAAAATTTGTTAAATTTTAAAGTCAAACTTTAATAACTTAGTACTTGACTCTATAAGTTTAATAAATCAAACTAAATCAAGTCTTAAATTTCATCAAATGGAATCGACTACATGAATCCTTCTTATTCACTTGACGCTATTCAAGGTTATTTCGTTAGTAAAATTAAGAACGCTCATATCTTTATTTACTACACTAACTTACATCAATCTAAGTCCGTCTCTTTTCCTAACATTTTCATCTACCATCACTGCATCGCATTTCTTCACTACTACCTCTGTTAGTCTCCGTTGTATATAATCAAATCATCTTAATCTATTTTCTCTGAAGTTATCATTTTTTTTTTGATTCATTCTAAAGTTATATTTCATCAATACTACTCTTGCCCATTCTTGAATATATTCAATCCTAACTCTATTTTTTCTAAACTTACTACACATCTACTTTAACATCTGCATTTCAACAACACTCACCTTATTTACGTGTTGTTTCTTAGTTGCCCAATATTCCGACTCATATAATATCGCTAGTTTAATAGCTGTTCTATAGAACTTCTTTTTTAGTCTAATGAATACTTATTTATCGCACAGTACCTCAAGCATACTCCTCCACTTAAGCCACTCCGCCATAATTCTATAGATCATATCCGCTCCATAAATTTAAATACACCATAAAAAATAAGTTACTCGAACTCCAATTGTATCCGGTTCGTTAAAAACTTGTTTGGATTTTTTATTTTTTATATAAACAAAAACAAGTTTGAACATATTTGGTTCTAGAAAATTGAATCAACTTTTCAGAAAAATGATTTTTTAGTATTTTTAATAATTTTTTAAAAATATTTTACACTAATTTTTTTTTTAAATACACCAAAAACTGAAAAGAACTTAAAAAAATTCACCAAATACAAAAAATTATAAAAATTCAATATATTTTCGTATTTTATTGTATTTAATTTTTAAAGATTTTCGTTCAAATCTTTAACTTTTAAGTAAATTAAGATTAAGTAGATCTAAAAAAAATAAAAATAATTACAATATTTAAAAAAATTCACTTAAAATATAAAAATATATCAATTTTTTTTTTTTCAAATAATTTATTTTCAAATTATTTTTTTTTCAATTAATTTTTTTAAATAATTTTTTTTTCAATTAATTATTTTTTCAATTTTTTTTTTCAATTAATTTTTTTCAATTAATCATTTTTTCAAATATTTTAATTTTCAATTAAATTTTTTTTCAAAATATTTTTTTTTAAATTAATTTTTTTTCCAATTTAAATTTTTTTTAATTTTTTTTTTTTCAAATTTATAATAATAATAATAATAATTATTATTATTATTTTCATACCTACTACTACTGCCCCAAGCGAAACAAACAGCAAGAGGTAAATGACGAAACCAAAGTTCCTTGCTTGAGGGCTTGATCGCGCCTCATTTTCACTGCGTCACACGGCTCACACCTCCCAATATTCTTATCTAACACCACCGCCACCATCTTTATCCCCAAAACCCCAATCGCGACAATAATTGACTGTCGTTTTCCACAATCTGTTACAGAGACCCATATTTCCATGTCTATTCACCTCTTCGGCGCTTGAAAGTTTCAAATTTCAAAGATTTGCGAACTGGGTTCGTTTAGAATGGTCCGTTGCGTGTAATCTGAGGTGGGTTTCGCGAGGTGTTGCTGATATTCGGAGAATTTCGTGTGCAAAATTGATTTCAGAGATTCTAATCGTACGTTTCCAGGTAAATTGTGAATCTTTTGAAATTTTAGTAGTTGGGTTATCTTTCAAGAAGTTGGTGATTAATACTCTGTAATGGGTTTCATGAAAAGTTGCAGAGTTTATGAGCATCAGTAGCTAAACATGGTACTTGGTGTTTATTTGCAAAACTAATTGTTGGATTTGAATTGGTAGGTATTTGTGGTTTTGAATTAGAGGGGGAATTAGAGGGGTTTGTTGAGTATTGTGTAAGGGTTTTCATGGAAATTTGATCAAGGTTTTTATGGATGAGTAGATAGGTTGTTTCTTTTAGATTTGTTCTTTGAAGAAGGGTAAAGTGGAGATGGCTATGGTGAGCAAAACCAGAAATATGCTAGAGGGTCTGGTAAGAGAAGGATCATTCAAATGGTTGATTAAAAACCGGACTTCTTTCGCTGAAGAGTTTGAGGAGATGGGGAGTTCTCCGTCAGCTGGAACGAATTGGATTCCAGAACTTTCTCCGGTGGCGAATATTGTAGTTCGTAGATGTTCAAAGTAAGTTGCTGCAATGCATATTCTACTTTACTGCTTGTTCATTTTGTGTGATTTGAGCTTCATGTGTTACTGGGTTCTTAATATAAAATCCTAGGCACGCTGATCTGTATGTTGAATCACAACAATGGAACGAGTTTACTACTTAATTTATGTATGTCGATTATTCTCTATAATCATTCTCATAGATCTACTTGTGGAACATACCACAAATGATGCAGAATCCTTGGCATTTCTTCAAGTGAACTTCGTGAAAACTTTGTTGCAGAGGCTTCTGATTCTATAAAGCATACATCACGGTTTGCAAGAAATATTTTGGAATACTGTTGTTTCAGGGCTCTTGCTCTGTCTACGCAAGTGATAGGTTATCTGGAAGACAAAACATTCCGACGTCTAACATTTGACATGATGATTGCATGGGAGTTTCCAGCTGCTTCTAGCCAGCCATTTGTCAATGTATGTTTTTTTATTGTTCAATTGCACATCTTAATTTTATGGTGGGACCCATACCTTCATAATAGTCGAACTGCTGAAGACCATCCATTCTTGTCACTGTGAATAAGATCCACGTCTCTCTTTCTCTATTTATTATGTGTGAACCCCTGCATCACTAGGAAGTCAAGAGTTCAAGATGGTGCTTTTACTTTGTTGTGCTTTTTGACATTGGTCCGGGTTCTTGTGGCCCTTGTCTATGTTGCAGGTGGATGAGGATGTAACAGTTGGGATAGAGGCCTTTTCTCGAATTGCTCCAGCCGTTCCCATAATTGCCAATGTGATTATAAGTGATAATCTTTTTGAGGTGCTTGCATCATCAACTGGTGGTCGTCTTCAGTTTTATGTCTATGAGAAGTACCTCAGTGGATTAGAAAGGTCACTACTTGTTACTCTGTTAACTTTTTTATTTATCTATTCCTTTTTATTCTTGCTGTGTGGTGACTTGACTGCATTTACTTTTCTAATAGGTTTCTGTCTTTGAGGCAATCATATTGTGTATTGCTTTCTTGAATCTCTTCAACAGGTTGTGAAAAAGTTTGAAAATTGACCTGCTAGTTTGTTGTTTGACATCTTGATCTTTTTTATACTAGTTTAACTACAGAGATATTCATCAGATTATGGGTGGGTAGACTTTGCTTCTGGAATTGTGGTTATGCCCTGCATAACCTTCGTATTGTGTGTTATTAACACAATCATTGTAGGCATTGATAAGAATTTTGTTTGTTTGTGTGTGTAATTGTAACATGGAAAAGGTGTTCAAACCCACCCATCCATTTATTTATTTATTGATAAGTACTATAAAAAAAGGCACCAAGGAGGTGCCACCCATATACACTATGGGAGAGAGAAACAAAAGACCTATATCATCTATTCGTTGAACTTTACTCAAAAGACCACAAAGTCCAAAAATTGGTTCAAGGATATTCAACTCTACCTGATGATTAACTATAATGTACCAAGGTGAATTGGGTTTCCAAATAAAATTTCACAGTAAAAAACTATCAGAGAATCCTAATGGGTCATAATAGTTCCTAATATGATTTAAGTTTTGACAGGTCAAAACATAAAAAATTGGTCATAATGCTCATAGAAATGTTTTGCTACATGATTATTTTGGGGGAAAAATACACATTTTATTGGATGCCTAATAGTTATTAGAAAATTACTTTAAAAGTATCTTAATTTCTTATAAGTATAATATATACAAGTCGACCCTTATCGTACTATATCATAGAGTATATGGCATACTACGTTTCCGTTCTCGTTCCACTTACCGGAATGATCCATTACAGGTAACATGGTTTAAGATTCAAGTTTGTATTTCATATTGAATTTTAAATTTTGGGGGGATAAATCAAGTTTTTAACCTGCAAAATTATTTTTCTCTAGGGCTATAAGGAAATTGAAGACCCAGTCCGAGTCATCTCTCCTTTCCACTTTTCGGTCGGCAAAAGGAGAAAAGATCTTGGAAGTGGACGGGACAGTCACTAGCCAGCCAGTTCTTGAACACATGGGAATTTCTACATGGCCTGGTGGGTTCTTGGACATTTAAAAATGTCTAATGTTAACTGTACATCCTACTAAAATATAAGCCACTCATAACTGTGGATAGAATTTGCTATCAGAAAAAAATTATTTTAACTGAAGTGCCTATGGTATATTTTAACTGGAATAGGCTACTCTGCAGTGTTTACTAAATTTTCTTGTTCATGTTCAAGCGTATATTTGTGAATTGCAGGTCGATTAATTCTTACAGATTATGCACTTTACTTTGAAGCTCTTCGGGTCGTGTCTTATGATAAGGCCAAAAGATATGACTTGTCTGAAGATTTAAAGCAGGTTGTCAAACCTGAGTTGACAGGACCGTGGGGAACTAGACTATTTGACAAGGCAGTCTTCTACAAATCAGTTTCCTTGTAAGGCATGACGCATAGATGTATCTTAATTGGTCATAATTATTGTATTGAAACTTATTAATATTTGAATTTGTTTATGTTTTACAATCCTACCTTTTTTGAAACATGCTATTATCTTAAACTACTTTGCATATGCCTAAGAATGCTATTAAATGTTTTGGTGTTTCTTGTGTAGATCAGAACCAATCGTAATGGAGTTTCCGGAGCTCAAAGGGCATACTCGCCGTGACTTTTGGCTAGCCATTATCCGAGAAATATTATATGTCCATAGATTTATGCATAAGTTCCAAATTACAGGAGTTGAACACGATGAAGCGCTTCTAAAGGCTACACTTGGAATTCTGCGAGTACAAGCCCTTAGAGAAATAAGTTCTGCAAGCCCTCTTTGCTACGAGTCTCTTCTTATGTTCAATCTATGTGATCAACGTCCAGGTGGGGATTTAGTACTAGAAGCACTTGCAAACATGTCATCCTCGAGGGAATTAGACCGGACTAACAATTCCAATGTTGGAGGAGGAATGTATTCAATATCAGCTCTGGCCATGGCTACTAACTTAGGGTCTGTGTTTGGAACAAGTTCTAATGCCAACGAGGCTGGACTTTGTGTCGGTGAGATCACTGTTGGAGAGATGACTCCATTGGAAAGAGCAGTTAAGGAATCTAGAACCAACTATAAAAAAGTGGTGCTTGCACAAGCATCAGTTGATGGGGTTAAAGTAGATGGCATTGACACCAATTTGGCAGTGATGAAGGTCTTACTAATATTACTGTTATCATTGATTTGTTTGTTTTTACTTTCAATTTGGGTGAAGATTTTGATTGATTAGAATAGGGGAGCATAATTTAACTCAACAAATCAAGGTTTGTCCCAATTACTTAGGGCAGCTAAATGGATGCATTTCCTCCAATTGGGTTTTTTGTAGTCATATCCTCAGTAAAGTTTAAGATAATCATATCCTTTTTAATCATCTCAACTCATGTTCTCCTAGGCCTTCCTCACCACCCTCCTTGTGGATCAAATCACCCCTTAAAAACTTGTTCATTGGCCAACAACCATACCATCTCAAACGGCTTTCTCTTATCTTATTTTCAATTGGTTCTACTTTTAACTTCTCATGGTTTTATTTCTTATTTTCATCTTTTCTTGTAACACCGCTCATCCATCTCGACATTCTTATTTTGGTTACACTCATTTTTTGAACTTGTTTTTTTCCTTAACAGCTCCACATTTATTACCATATATCATAGCAGGTGTTATGGTAGTCTTGTAAATTTTTCTGTTCAACTTAGTAGGAATCCTATGGTCACACAACACTCCTAATGCACTCATCCATTTCATCCATCCTGTCCAAACCTAATTATATGGGCCACATTCTCGTTAATCTCACAATATTTATGAATAATTCTTCCAAGATATGGAAATATTCACTATTAGATATCTCATGCACATCAAGTTTAACTTTATATTCATCCCTGTTTCTAGTTTTCTGAAGTTATAGTCCATATATTCTATCTTTAGTTTCACTTAACTTAAAAGTTTTAAACCTTTTAGATTCTGAGGTATTTCTCCACAATTGTAACTTAAAATTTACTCTTGTTCATCGTCCAAAACTGTAACGCCTGCAAATAACATACACAGGGGCTATGAAGCACGGACATAGACACGGGACACGGCAATTTCCAAAAAATGGGGACATAGAAACGGTGGCGGACACGGCGAATTTTATTTTATATATTTTTATGTGTTATGTAGATTCATATTACATTCATCCAAAATCAAAATTAACAAGTAACATTAATTCAATAAATATAACCACTACATTTAAACTAATTAATAGATCATCCATTTACAAAAAAATCATAATAAACGATAACAAGAACTAAGACGAGAAGGGAAAAATATTCAACATCCAACAATATTCTTCACAAAAGCACTAAATAAGAGGTAAAAAAAAAAAATTTAAATTAAATTAAAGGGACACGCTATCTGGCATGTCCCGTATGAGTCCTCGTGTCCCCGGCTTGTCTGCGTGTTGGACACTGCCACGGCACCGATTTTGGAGTGTCCATGCTTTATAGCATAGGGGGATATCCTTTTGAATGTTTCTAGGAAATTCATCCATAATTAGTGCAAAAGCTAATGAGTTAGTGCTAACCCTTGACGTAAATCTACTGTTTTTGGAAATTTACTTGTTTCTGCCCTATTGTTCTCTCCTTTATCCACAGGCTTGTGTGCCAGTGAGTGAGAAAATGGTTGCATTTGGGGTTGGAAACATGAATTCTCTCATTCTATTCTTTCATTTTATTGAAATGCAGCTGAAATTTGCATGATCTTTTACTTTGGTGTTGACTTTTAGATATCACATGTACTTGCAGGAGTTATTCTATCCTGTTACAGAAGTAGGGAAGTGGCTTCTTTCTATGGCATATTGGGAAGACTCTCTTAAGTCTTTTGTGTTCTGTTTGGTTTTCACTTACGTCATTTTCAGGTGAGATGGTTATTTTAGTTCAGCTATTTTCTGACCTCTAATTTTTTGCACATCATGTGATGCACACTTTGCAGTCATTTTTCTTTCTATCTAGTTGACAATGACCTAGTGCAACTTTTACTGGTTCTAAAGTTGAGCCAGGTTTCAAGTGCTTCACATTTTCTATACAAAAGAATTCCAGTGTTTAGGTGAAGTAGCTGTACAGAAAAGGTTGAGATTAAGGTGTTAAAATAACTTTCTATGTTTCACATGATTGACTTGAAACATGCGGGAAGATGTTGCCTCAGATTCTCATATTCTTGTTCTTAAGCATTTTAAGGGTCTTCATAGGATTTTTGAACTCTATCTGGATGTTGCTTTTTATTTCAGCATTCCTCAGTCCGGAGGAAGTTGAAATTTTGGGCAGGGAGTCTTAATACACTAGGAGGGAGAGTTTGGTACATGGCAAGCTTTTTCCCAGGAGAGCTGACCTCCAAACTGGAACTTGGAGCCAATGTCCGTGATTTTGGATGATAAGATATTGTTCCATTTGAGAGGGATATTGTGATGGAGTTTTCCAGTCCTGTACGAGAAGACTGTCATTGAAGAACTTGAACAACATTCCAAACTAATTGAAAAGGTCGCCCTTTCATTAATTTTGTAGGACCTTTCTATTTGCAGAAAGAAGTGGTAGTTCGATTTTTGGCAATATAGGAGCCCTGTCTAAAAGGATGAGAGTCATGGGAGGAGTCTATATTCTCCCTCAAGTGGAGAGTTTAGTGTTGATAGATTTTTTTTCAGATATGCCCACTCTCTCTCTCTCTCTCTGTTATGTAGTAATGTTAAATATAGATAATACGTTGTTTAGTTATCTTATTGGAAGTCCTTACTTTGCTTTGTAGGATGTATATCTCTTGTTCTCTTTGATTCTTGCTCTTAAATGCAAGTGCCGCTAGAACTCAAACATAACATTGCCTAACTCTCTTGAGGTCCTTTAGGTGCAGTTTTATACTATCATTTGAAGCCATTCTCTTGTGAGCTTGGTTGAGGATTGACTTTACATGAAAAAAATTGTCAACCCTTAGAATATTGTGCTTTTTGTAAGGACATTGATACCTTTTTTTTTTCCTTTTTATATATACTTGCAAATTTATGCTGTTAAAAAACTCAAAAATATGATTTTTCAGGGGCTGGCTGTGCTATGCTTTTGCATTGATGTTGATATTTATGGCGGTCTTTATGGTACTTACACGGTATTGTAGCGAAGGAAGTGTTGATGAGCTAAAGGTAGAAGCACCTCCTGCAATGAACAAAGTGGAGCAACTTTTGGCTGTTCAGAATGCAATATCTCAAGCTGAAGAGTTCATCCAGGATGGAAACATTGTTCTTCTGAAGTTCCGTGCCTTACTGTTGTCCATTTTCCCTCAGGTTTTATTTACTTCTTTTATTATTATTATTGTTGTTGTTTTCTGTGTGAGAAGCAGGGTTGTTTTGTTGGACTTTTTCCCTTTCTAGCTTGCATATTTCGTCTCTTCTGCATTTTCTTGCATCTTTGAGAGATCCTGCTTTTTAAAGGAAAAAAACTTTTTCTTGAAGAAGCTTTTTTTACTCTATTGAAAATACAAATTGACTTTACAAGTCTCAACAAACAGTGCCATTGATTTAGTTTTGGAGGGCTTATCTTTATCTAAATTGGATGTCTAATAAGGAGTTGCAGCTCCTTAAATCGTCAGGTGCCATGCATGATGCACCACATTATGGGTAGATATGTTTTACCTTTTGTAACCACATTATTATTATTTTTAATTCTGTTTTGAAACAATGGAAAAGATGGAATTACAGAAAATATAGACGGTGATTTCTTTTCATTAATCACCAAATGACTCTGATAGGCTTTCATTGAAGAGGAACCAAACATTGTAATGTGATGCATGGAAAATGGCACTTTTCTAGAAGGTGCAGATACTATAAGGATGTGTGGCAATTGCAATTTTCAAAGAATCATTACATGTTCTTGGCAATGAAAGAGCAACAAATAAATATGCCTATATGTATAAATAAAAAATCTTAATTTTTTTTTTTAATAGAGAAATTGGATAGAGTTGTCTATCTCAACTCAGCTGGCCGCTGGAGTTGTCTCCTCATCAGGCTTGACTGCTTGCATATTTGTTCCCGCTGTTTCAAACATGATTTAGGGGGAAGAGGTGCACCATTTTATTGGATTGTTGTTTATTTTTCAAATCTGTAAAAAAAAATTGGGTATATTCTCCCCATTTTATCTATTCCATGAGTAAGACCCCACCCCAGTTGTCTCATGTGTTTAGGCAACATGTGTCCGGTTTTATAAAATATATAAAAATGATATATCAGGACCTTTTGTTCCACGTTCAAGTATTGTCAGTGCACGTCTGATGTGTTGCACATGGACATGGCATCGTTGGAGGTTTGTGTGTGCTTCATAGACCTGTTCTTTGCAAATGCACCTTTTTAAATAAGAAGTTTCAGTTAATAGTGCTCCAAATGTGCTTGGGCTCAAATGTTAAGCATTCACTGTATGCTTGTCATTTACTTGTAATTTACATATCTTAATGTGTCTGATTCAGTACTTGTGGCATCTTTTCATGTTCAGGCAAGTGAGAAATTCGCAGTTGCTCTTTTGGCTGTGTCTTTGTTTGTTGCCTTTGTACCTAGTAAATACATAATCCTTCTCAGTTTTTTGGAGGCATTTACGAGGTACTCGCCTCTGAGGAAACCAAGCACAGAGCGTTTGACGAGGAGAATGAGAGAATGGTGGTTCAGCATACCGGCAGCTCCTGTTCTCCTTGAAAGAGCGAAAGAGGACAAGAAGACAAGGTGATGTAAATATTTTTTTTTAACATTCATACAGTCGATGTAAAGTTGTGTTCTATATACCCTCTAGACATTTTCACAAGTGCAAATCGATATGGTGAAAAGCAACAAAGTCTCAAAAAAAAGAAATGGCTTTCATATACCTGCAATGTGATTCTTTTTTTGTTGCTCGCTCTTTTCTGTTAGTAAGCGTGTTAAATTGAGAAGAAAATTTGGGTATTCATTTTGTACAGATGTTTTTTGTAGGTTTTAGAATGCTTGCATATCTAGGTTCTGAATTTTGAGTTGCACTAACATGTAATGTGCTTGAGAGACTGGCCTAAAAACAAGATACATGGAACCTAGGAGACAACAAAACCATCAATATAATTCTAGGCTATGTTTGGAAACAACAAACAAAACAAAACCCGTGACGCATCATTTTCATATGCAACTCAAAGCCATGGTGTCCACTGCCTTACGTTTTTTTTTTGGGTGAATAACTTCCTTATGTTTTAGCTTTGACAATTTCCTTACAAATCTCGCTCTGGAAACTAAACTATATCATTTTCATCCTCAAGGTCATTGAAGATTTGCAAAATTGTTTAAGATCTTGAGTTTGAGGAGAGATTTGTGTGACTAGAATAATCGCTACATCACCAGAAGTTCCTCTTTACTATACTTGAATCGATTTAGTAACACGTTGGCAACGGTTTAGCTCTGCATACAAAAGTGTTCTCGAGTGGGCAAGTTCTTGAAGGGTGCTCAAGTAGAGTGCACCTGAGCCAGTTCATGATGGTTTGAATTTGAATTTTGTCTGGGTTTTTGACAAAGGCTAGTGATTTTCAATTTAATATGACATTTAAAATAAAAAAAAAAAGGGACCATTAGGGAAACCCTAATTTCACTATAACAATTTGAATCTTTGCCACAAGTTTTGGAAGTGTTACAATTTTTATAGATTCATACCAAACTATGAATTGGAATTAACATAGAGTGGGGAGGTTCAATTTTTGGAAGTGCTAACCATTTAATTTTAATTAAATGAACCAAATAATATTTTATTTTAAGCTATGAGAAGATGAAAAATTATAGGGGAATTTTTTTAAAATTCTTGATATTAAGATTTTATAAGATAAATAATATATAATATTTTTATAGTAGTTGGGGTTTCTCAATATTTTCACTGAGAAAATTCAACTAAGAGAAATTTGTATCCGACTAAGGTAAATTTTGGCCTTGACACAGACAAATTTCAATTTTTATAGAAAAATTTCATTAAGGGGCCTTAACTAATAAAAAAAATATATTGGATCTCTCTTACTATATAAAATTAAAGAGGAATGTTTCACTAATTTTTTCAAAATTATATACCAAGCAATTACTCAAAAAATTGTATGCTAAGAAATTCTATAAAAACTTGATCTATCCAAAATGAATGGTTGATTGAGGAATTCTTCAAAATTAAACAATATTTTCCACTAATTTCAGTCTAAAATATTTGGTCGCAAGAATCAAGAACTTGTCACATACAAGATTCCTTTAGGGTTAGGCTATTTGCTCAAATGGCTCCAAGTTTAAATGTTATTGGGTTAAAAGGATATTAATCTATTCAAAAGAATACTTACTTGTTCAAAATTTGCTTATTTATTTATCTGTTCAAATATTATTTATTTGTACACTTGTTACCTATTTATTCATCTATCTGTCAAATGTCACTTATTTGTTCATCATATTGCCACGAGCTATTGTGCTGACCGTCATTCACTAGCGATTTTTATTGCATTGACAATTTTTCAATGCGTATTATTTTCACCAAAAAAGGATTAAACTTTGGACCAAATAATATATAACTTCATAAATGTGAACTTTTCACCAATTAATCTATTTCTTTATTCCTAGACTAAAAAAATTGTGATCATATGTTGATTTATGTGCTTTTATTTTTATTTTTACCAAAATAAGCCATGAAGCTTGAATTTACTTGACTCACTTTATAGTAGCCATGCCAATTCAATAGATCACAAACTCCAATCAACCTATTTAATCATCCTAATCTTATAGGAGATTTAGTGACAACACTATCTAGAAATATCCTTTGTTATATAAATAATTCCAAGTACATAGAAAAAATAGTTAGAATTTTAATTGAAATCTCAATTTTCATAGAAAAATAGGTAATCATATTAATTACATTAAAATAGATCATCACTTCAAATCACTAAAAGATCTTTATTTGGTAACAAAATTCACCACCGAACCTAGATTTTCAGTTTAGCCCAGTGGTTTTACTATTTAGGAAGTGAGATTTTAGCCCAATTTAGACTAAAATTTATAAAAAGATAAAATAGGCTAAAATAATTAATAAGATAAAATGTCACATCAAACCCATAATTATTTTACTTTTTCTCTCATAAAGATCACATCTAACTATAAAAAAATCTAATCATCTTCCCAAAAACAAAAATTTTAGCCTACTAAAATAGTCAAAAACTAAAATAGTCTATTAAAATAGCAACTTTCCAAGTACCCACATAGTCACATCTTAGGTGTGGTAAGAAGAATGACAGGTGTTCAAACCGATGGAGCAGCGGTGATTCCTTTAGTTGTAATATAACTTTGTAAAGGGTCAGAAATTAAAGTCCAAATTAAGTATGGACCTAAGTGCGGAGGTCGCCTTTGTTAGGTGACATGGAATGATTAAAAAAGCATGGGCTAAAGTCCAAGGGAAGTGGGTCGATAGTGGGCCAAAGTAGGTCCAACAAGCCAAGGGTCCAAATAGACTCCACGAAGGAAAATGTCTAAGTGAAGTTGCAGAGGCAACACTTGCGACGGCCAAGTTGCAAAGACATTTTGCCTCAGCGCCGCCATTCACAAAATTGTCGGTTGCGCCGCCATCTGAAGTTGTTGAGGGCAAGAGAAAGCTGATGCAACTAAGTTGCAGAGGCAACACTTCCGACAGCCAAGTTGCAGAGACACTTTGTCTCAGCGCCGCCGTCTGAAGTTGCTGAGGGAATGCTATCTCAAGTAATGTTAGCGCTACCATTTGAAGTTGCTATGAGAAAAAGAAAACCAAAGAAACTAAGTTACAGAGGCAATATTTGCAGTGGTCAAGTTACGGAGGTACTTTGTCAACATCGCTATCTTTAGTATAAGCCAACGCAACTAAGTTGTAGATGTGACACTTGCGACGGCCAACCAATGGTAAGTAGGTCTCCCAATTACCTTGAAAGTCTAAGACACACATTCGTAACATGTCCTCCAATGTTTGAATGGTCCGTTCAGATTGGCCATCTGTCTGTGGGTGATAAGCACTGCTTAATCTCAGTTCAGTTCCCAAAGCTTGTTATAAACTCTGCTAAAATCTCGAAGTAAACTTGGGATCTCTGTCAGACACTATGAACACTAGAACTCCATGTAATTTTACAATCTCATTGACATACAAATTACCAACTTATCCGCATTATACAAAGATTTGACAGGTAAAAAGTGAGCAGATATAGTTAAACAATCAACAATGACCAAAATAGAATCCATACCTCGAAAAGAGTGAGGTAGTTCGACAATGAAATCCATAGTAACCCACTTCTATTTCGGTATTGGAAGCTGCTGAAGTAATCCAGCAGGTCGTTGATGTTCAGCTTTAACTTGTTGGCAATGTAAGCATTTAGCCGCAAAGTCAACAATACTTTTCTTCATTCTCGGCCACCAAAAATTCTATTTTAAGTCATGGTACATCTTCATATTCCCTGGATACATGACAAACTTAGAATTGTGAGCTTTAGTCATAACACGCTTTCTCAAATCAGAAGAATTTGGTACACAAAGTCTATTCTGAAACTTCAACACATTATTCTCAAACACAAATCCTAGCCTTGGTTTTGAGTCAAATTCTTTCACAATCTTTTTAAAAAATGCATCTTCCAGTTGTTTCTCTCTAATCTCTTCAATGATTGCAGGCTGAGCAGAAATGGCGGCCAAGATCTTGCCCTATTCACATAACACAATTTCAATCTCATCCTTCCCCAAGACACATAATAACTCTCTCTAACCGGTGAGAAAACATGACAGATTGGCAATGGATTTCCGGCTCAAAGCATTTGCAATTGTATTAGCTTTTCCCGAATAATACAAGATCTGCAAATCATAGTCTTTTATTAATTCAAGTTGTCGTCTTTGTCTCATTTTCAATTCTTTTTGCGTAAAAAAATATTTCAAACTTTTATGGTCGGTATACACCTCGCAAGTCGCACTATACAGATACTGTCACCCAATTTTTAGAGCAAACACCACAGCGGCTCATTCAAGGTCATGAGTTGGATAGTTCTTTTCATGCGATCGGAGTTGCTGAGAAGTATATGCAATTACCTTCCCATTCTGTATTAACACACACCCCAAGTCTTTCCTGGAAGCATCACTATAAATCTAGAACCCATCGGTTCCGCTGGGCAATGTCAGAATTGGTGCAGTTACTAGTCTAGTCTTCAGTTCCCGAAAGGCTGATTCACACTAATTGGTCCAATCAAATAATCAAATGGTACATTTTTCCATGTTAGTTGTGTTAATGGCATAGCAAGTTTTGAAAAGTCTTTCACGAATCTGCGATAATAACCTGCAAGTCCTAGAAAGCTTTGGATTTCTGACACATTAGTTGGTCTTGGCCAATCTACAATGGCCTCAATTTTCTATGGATCCACCGATATGCCGTCTTTGTTGATTACATGCCCCAAAAATGCCACACTATTAAGCCAAAATTCACATTTAGAAAGTTTTGCATACAATTTCTTTTCTCTCAGGGTTTGTTAGGCAATCCTCAAATGATTTTCATGTTCTTCTCTGCTTTTGGAGTAAATCAGTATATCATCAATAAAAATAATAATAAATTTATCCAAAAATTGTTTGAACACCCTATTTATTAAATCCATAAACGCTGCAGGTGCATTAGTTACCCCAAATGGCATTACCAAAAATTCATAGTGTCCATATCTAGTTCTGAATGCAGTTTTCTCTATGTCTTTTGCCTTGACCTTTAACTGGTGATACCTGGATCTAAGGTCAAATTTAGAAAACACTTAGGCTCCCTAGAGTTGGTCAAATAGGTCATTTATTTAGAGCAGTGGGTATTTGTTCTTGACAGTCACTTTGTTCAATTCCCAGTAGTCTATGCACAGCCTTAAAAATCCATCTTTTTTTTTTGACAAATAAAACTGGAGCACCCCATGGTGAAGTGCTCAGGCGGATGAATTTCTTG